GGTACATGAGGTGGGGGTATTTCTGTATAAATACTAGCTTGATTCCAGTCAGTTTGCGGGGTTTGTATTGAGTTACAACCTGCTTTATTTTTGTCTGCCAGCTGGACGCTAGCTGGGACCCTTACGCCGGTAAGTGTTGTTGTTCTGTTGTTATTCTACAGATAGAATCCTGGAAAACATTTGCCACAAAAATAAAAATATCAAGGAAATGGAAAGGTAATTCTGGAAATCAATATTGACTGGATTCTTGAAATTCTGGAAATCAATATTTACGTTGAACAAATGAGAGAGCTGTCTGAAACGATGAGTGTACCGACGCTGAGAAAGACAACAAAGGCTAAAGTACTTTACTGAATTAGCCGAAATAATAAAATTTAAAGTCAACACAATAAACACATCTGTTTGACTAATTTGATAGGTTTTAACGATAGCAAGCAATTTGAACCAAAAAGAAACTAGTTCTTCAAATGCAACTTGTTAGCTTTATATCCAGCAAGGTTACTCAACGATACTCTGGAATAATTACGATTTATTCATAAATATAATAAACGCATGTTTTGGTACCAAAAAATGGATATTTAAGCATAACACTTTAGTGATTTAATTTTCTCTGGCGATAATCGTTCGGCTACCCAGATGTCTCTTGATGCTAGTAATATTAGAAAAAGTCCATTAGTGTTCTATGGTTGATAGCCATCCTTAGTTCATTCACCCATAGAAAGACATGCTGAGGTTGACAAGGGATAATCCTTATTGTAAATTGTCGAATTGCAGTAGAAGGCAGAAAATATCAATCTATGTCTGAATTCCATTGGTATCTCGACTTGACGAATTTAAGTGCTGTACTAGATTGGCAGTTAGGTCTTATAATTTTACTATAGAAATTGTTAGACGCAACCGTAAATTCTGTGCTTATAGTTTCTTCTCCTAAACGTCAAGGGCTTACGGCCATATTACGTTAAAAACCGGTTTTCCTACGATCAACGAAGTTAAGCAGCGTCAAACCTGGTCAGTACCTAGATGTGTGACTAGTGGGGCATACCATGTACGGGTGGTTTAATTGGTAACAACGCGGAATTGTAAGTCGAAGAACCGAGTTCTTAGGAGATGAATTCCTTCCTTTCCCGATGGTATTAGTGCTAAAATGTACACAACTAATAGGGAGAAATTTGAAATTGGCTTTCAGAGATATCTAAAAATATACAGAAAACGGAGATAAAAAAAGCGTTCCAGAATTCTATGAAGAAGTGTAAAATATACAAAACCATGGAGATAGAAATGCTGAGGTTGACTAGGGACAATGTATCCTTATTATAAATTGACTAAATGCACTAAAAAGTATATATATATATCATTCTATATCTGATTTCCATTATACATTTCTATTGGTTGATTTTATATGTGAATTCCCTGGCTAAATCCCAATTAGCATTTTGCTACATATTCCTAACCGCGTGATCCTATGCTGCACTGTCCCCCTCCTTGTCATATAAGGTTATCAGATATTAAAAACGGGTCCTTTGATCACGCTAACCATGACCCTCTTTGGTCATGCCATATTACTGAATCTATTATGCATCTGATCAATTTGGTAGGCTTGAACAATTGCAAGTAATTTAACCAGAAAGAAAACTAGTTCTCCAGTTTTTACTTTTTCTTTTTATTCAGCATGGTTAATCAATGATATCTTGGAGTAATTACCGTTTATTCATAAATTTAATAACCAAATAATGTTCTGATCCAGAAAATATATATTTAAGCATAAAACTGTAAATACGTTTGATGGATGATTTTTTGAGCTGTGAAGAAGATGGCGAAAGAGTTGGTTTTGTATGCACCCTGTTATAAGTTGATCTCTTTCAAAACCCTTACTTCTAACATTGTTCCATTCACTGAGACAATGAATATTAATTTGAAAGTGTTGAACTGACCCCATGACCATAATTTAATGAATTTTATCCTTCTATAGTATGTTTCATTAATAGGTTTTATTCCCTTCGAAATGAAAGAGGAAAACATTATATATATATATATATATATATAAGCAAATGTAAATGGATATAGATCCGACAGAATGAAGAAAAATTTGGAAAAAACAAACAAAAATCCTTAAATGCAATTATGTTGTTTAAAATGAATGAAATGTCGACGTCTGACGTTTCGGTTTAATAAACCTTTTTCAAGACAATATTCATTAAAATACAATTCAGTTCAATTTGATAAAGACGATGGACACGGTGAATACTAGACCTGGTTTCTTTAATATTTCCCCTTTTTTGCGAGATTAATGCTCGACAAGCATACACATAAAATTTTTAGATCCTAATAGAATTCTTTTCATTTTCTTTTTCATTCAAAATAATCAAAAATTTTTAGGAATACGTTTTGAAAGCGTCGCCCATGTGACGACAACGTGACCATGCTAAACGGAAAGCTGATCATTTTAAAAATTTTCTGTTTTGGATAAGACTTGTTGTTTATGTCCATCGTCTTTGTCAAATTGAACTGAATTGTATTTTAATGAATATTGTCTTGAAAAAGGTTTATTAAAACGAAACGTCAGACGTCGACATTTCATTCATTTTAAACAACATAATTGCATTTAAGGATTTTTGTTTGTTTTTTCCAAATTTTTTCTTCATATATATATATATATATATATATATATATTGGTATTCATGTGCCACTGGAGTTGGTCATTTCGGTGAATGAAAATGGGGCTGGCCTTGCTTGCCCCTCCTTGTTTATTTCTTTTTGTGACCCACGCAGTCAACAATGTTTCAGCTGCAGTAAGAACCTATTTCTCATAGGAATTTTTTTTTTAACACGTGCAACAATACCACATTTAATGAAATGACAGAGAGGAAAAGACACACGGACAATCATATACACAAACGGGGTTACCAAAAATTTCTGAAAAAGGGAATAAAATTAATTTGATGTTAGGTCATGTTCGCGAAAATTCGTTCGGTTCGACGTTTCTCAGCACACCTCATGCCCTCTCTCTCTCTCTCTCTATATATAAGTATTAGATCAATACCAAATTTATTGAAATAAAAGAGGAAAAGACACACGTACACAAAGACACACACACACACACATATATATATATATATATATATATATATATATATATATATATATATATAATGGAATGGATTAAGCCCAGCAATTATTTTAATATATTTTATTCTTATACGTTATTAAGATAATTGTCGGGCCTAGTGCATTTCATAATATATCATTTGTTTACGTTAAGATACGCTTCGAGCAGATATGAACGGTCGATGGAAATCATGGGAAATTTGTAGTTTAAAAGCAGTAATTATATATATATATATATATATATATATATATAGAGAGAGAGAGAGAGAGAGAGAGAAAGCGAAAGTGTTGAAATGTCTTATACCTCACCAATAAGAGACAAGGTTCGTAGTTGTTCAACTTGGGTGATCAGATGAGTACTGGTGGTTCAATATATTTGTGAACAATTCATTACATTTATTACCCTGATGAGTGGTGTACTCGGGAAACTTGAGCAAAGAGGGGAAGTTATGGAGAGCCGTGATTCTCCACGTCCTGAAAGGACTTGTCAAATATAAAACAGACGAAAGGTAAAGGTCTGAACAGATTGCGTTTTTTCTTTCAGCTGACAGCCGCGACATTACACTGCAAATATTTTACAATTTGGGAGAGGATGATTCAAAAACAATATGGAGTAATATATGAGGAAAAGGGGACAGGAGAATTTAACACTCACATGACATAGTAAAAGTAACCCACTTGTATAGATGTTAACGGAGTTATCTGCCCTTGGAGTGTATAAATACAAGTGAGAAGGAGGCGGCCATTTGCTTTTTCAGTATTGCTCAGAAGCATATCCAGCGGAAGTCTTCTGCACTTTACACTACTAAACGAATTTGTGTGACTGCATGATAGAATGATGACAAAGAGAGAAGGTAATGTGTCAAAAGTTACTTTGAGCAACAAATGAGTTGTGAAAAGCCATGATTATCTACGTTTTGGTAGGACATGGCAAAGCATTGAACTGGTTATGTTATGCAAGGTCATTACAATTTAGTGAGTCTGGGCCCAAAACAGGTTTGGTAAAATTTTTGGTAATTGCTAGCATAAAAACAGAATTTTCCTAACTTTGTCTACAGCCAATGTTTTTATTGATTTAAAACAAAACCAGTCATTAGCGAGAACTTGTCGTGTTTATCCCCGAGGAAAAAATTCCGAGAAAGGTAATGACATGTAAACTGCATAAGCAAGAATGTGCGAGGTGTAATAGGCTTATTGCCATATCAAGTTAAAAGACCGGTTCTGGTCGGATCATCAAAGTTAAGCAACGTAGAGCCTGGTCTGTACCTAGATGGGTGTCCGCTTGGGAATATCAGGTACCATAAGCAATTTTGTGCGAGGTGTAATAGGCTGATTGCCATATCAAGTTAAAAGACTGGTTCTGGTCGGATCATCAAAGTTAAGCAACGTAGAGCCTGGTCTGTACCTAGATGGGTGTCCGCTTGGGAATATCAGGTACCATAAGCAAGGATGTGCGAGGTGTAATAGGCTGATTGCCATATCAAGTTGAAAGACTGGTTCTGGTCGGATCATCAAAGTTAAGCAACGTAGAGCCTGGTCTGTACCTAGATGGGTGTCCGCTTGGGAATATCAGGTACCATAAGCAAGGATGTGCGAGGTGTAATAGGCTTATTGCCATATCAAGTTAAAAGACTGGTTCTGGTCGGATCATCAAACTTAAGCAACGTAGAGCCTGGTCTGTACCTAGATGGGTGTCCGCTTGGGAATATCAGGTACCATAAGCAAGAATGTACACGGAGGTGTAATAGGGCTTATTGCCATATCAAGTTAAAGACCGGTTCTGGTCGGATCATCAAAAGTTAAGCAACGTAGAGCCTGGTCTGTACCTAAATGGGTGTCCGCTTGGGAATATCAGGTACCATAAGCAAGGATGTGCGAGGTGTAATAGGCTTATTGCCATATCAAGTTAAAAGACCGGTTCTGGTCGGATCATCAAAGTTAAGCAACGTAGAGCCTGGTCTGTACCTAGATGGGTGACTGCTTGCGAATATCAGGTACTGTAAGCCTGGAGATGGGTTTACTCCTATCACGTTGAATGACCGGCTCTGGTCGGACCACCAAAGTTAAGCAATGTCAAGCCTGGTCTGTACCCAGATGGTGACCACTTCGAAATATCAGGTACTGTAAACACGGACGTGCGAGCGGTGTAATGGGCTTACAGCCATATCCCATTGAAAGACCGGTCCTGGTCGAATAATCAAAGTTAAGCAATGTCGAGCCTGGTCTGTACCTAGATGGGTGTCCGCTTGGGAATATCAGGTACCATAAGCAGGGATGTGCGAGGTGTAATGGACTTACTACCACATCACGTTAAAAACTGGCTCTGGTCGGATCACTAAAGTTAAGCAACGTAGAGCCTTGTCTGTACCTAGATGGGTGACTGCTTGCGAATATCAGGTACTGTAAGCTCGGAAATGGGCTTACTGCTATATCACATTGAAAGACCGGCTCTGGTCTAATAATCAAAGTTAAGCAATGTCGAGCCTGGTCTGTACCTAGATGGGTGACCGTTTGGGAATATCAGATACTGTAAACTCGGAAATGGGCTTACTGCTATATCACGTTGAAAGACCGGGTTTGCTCGGACCATTGAGTTAAGCAATGTCGAACCTGGTCTGTACCGAGATGGGTGACCGCTTGGGAATATCAGATACTGTAAGCTCTGATGTGTGAGTGGCGTAATGTATAACGGCTGGCATTTTGAAATTGAAGAGGCGAGTTCCAATTCCAGTCGGGTTCACTTACGTGCAAATACCCTTGGAAAAAGATATGAATCTACCTCTTTGCCGTCCAGCTATGGGTTAATTAGCTGTGGAGAATCATGATCGTCCAAGACCAGGAGGAAAACGCCACATAAGAGAAGGTCTTGGAATCCTTGAAACAACAATGCTAATAAATAAAGTCGAGAACGAAGAGAAAAATACGAAGTGAGAGACGGAGAGGAAATTGATTCTAGAGGCCCTAATGTGAATTACATGCCCATTCGGAACAGATATGCAGCTGGTTCAAAGATGGCCGACCAGTAACAACGTACCGACGAATAAATTTTGTTGTATGTTATCTCTGATCAGTGATGGGAACGCAAGAGTAATAGCGGTGGAGAAGAGAAAAGAATAAATGGTTGTGTGAAAGGCGCAGGAGAAGCCAATAGCTGCAATGCTTCATTGCTACATTGCATTTACCCTGCGCAGTATTGTCTGATATGTAGCTCCATTGGTCCTCGGAGCACTAGAAACTCAAAACAAATTAATTTTACGCAACCATAAGAAAAAGCAAAGAAGCGTAGGCAACATCAGAAATGAAATCAGAGTATCGGTTACGTGGGTGGGTTTCGACTTCCACTGGTCTATTTGGAACGATAAGCAGAACAACTGAAAAGATTGTTTAAGGTTTCAAGCCCGCAGTCGGCATTAACGTCCACATTTCAGTATACGAACCCCCACCCATGATCTTTGGTATTAAGTTAGATCACATTTTATTGCAACTGGATAGCAGATATTTTGTCAAAATAAGCCCCAAATATGACTGGACACGTCAAGATAAAATTAATTTGTAGATGCGAAGAGAAAATAATATCAACGTAAGAAACAGGCTTCGTTACCGAGTTCTCGCTTTGGACGTGATTTTAAATTCTCATCACTCGATATAAACACACATCGCTTTTTGGGGGAAATAAATTATTTCAGTTTTTTTATAACAACGGGGTATCAGATGTTTCGTTAAAATAAAGCCCAAATATGACTGGACACGTCGACATAAAATTAATTTGTAGAAGCCAAGAGAGAGTATAATGTCTACCAATTGTTGTAACAGGTCACGTTGCTGAATTCTCGTTCTAGACGTGATTTTCATCTGTCACTCCACTATATATTCAACTCGTGATGCTTGTTATTAACGTACTTCTCTTTTTATTATAACAACGGGATATCAGATGATTCGTTAAACTAAAACAAATATGACTGGATATGTTGATGCGTAGAGGACATAATATTTATCAATTCATGAAGCCGGCTTCCTTGCCTAGTTCTCGTTCTTGACATGGGTTTAATCTCTTATCGCTTGATATAAATACCAGTGTCTGTTTTCTCATGCGCAACACATATCTGGCTATGTTTTTGCTTGCATCTAAATATAGGTAACTCCACGTAATTGCAAAAATATCAGCATACCGTGATGAAAAACATGATCCAAACGTAATGAAAATTTAGTTTTATAGTCAAAATCTTTATGCTGTTATTAAGAGCAAGGATCAAAGTAATTTTTTAATTAATTTTTTATACTCCTTTTATTCAAAATTTTGATTAAAAGAATTTTCTCGCATCAGCGGCTGTACTAACTTTTAGCATAGCAAATTTTGACCTCTTTTTTGAGGTCACAGACATTAATTTGGAATTTCTTGTTAAAATCAAATAATTGTCGGATTTTAATGAAATTTTCAAGACTTATTTACAAATGAATGAAAACATTTTTAATTTTTTATTAAAAAATCTTGGTAAAAATATTTTTTTTTTACATGTGTTTCACTCCGTTACTTAATTTTATGAAAATTTGAGTAATTCAACAAGATAACTTTTAGTGACTATATTAGTTAAAAGCAGAATTCTTTGCCGAATTTAAATCATCAATTTTTTTTAAAAATCGGAGCCCACCTTACCGAAAATCTGTTCTGAATCAAAAGATAAAAAAAATGCAATAAAACTAAGCCATTATTTAATTACAAGAGATTTTAACTGCTTTTATGAATAATATATATTAAAGACAATATTGCCTGAAGAAAAAAAAATTTGATGAAAAATATATTTTTACAAGATTTGTTTCCATCTTTTTACAATTTTACCTTGAATAATTTACAAAAATTTAAATCTTTTAAAATTCAATTTCAATGTTATAACTCTTACAAAATATTATTATTAAGTAAAATTATATTTACTAATCATATATTGTAAAGCGTATTACAATGTGACGACCCCGAATATTTTTAAAAGAATTTTGATTTGTTACTGTATGTATGATATAGGTACAGAATTTCTAAGTATGGATGTTCAAACCAAAAACATTATGATTAAAAGGTCACGTGTTTTAAGGGTTGTCCCCTGCCACTTTCAGGAAAAATGTCCTTATATACACTTTATTGTCAGTTGCACCATGCTTAACGATAAACACGTTCGGTGGTCATTCGGCTGTCAATAAATCGATTAACACGTCATAAAAAGAAGACCCCGTTGTTAAGAAATGCTTGTATACATTTTGTTTTATAAGTAAGTAATATTTGTTTCAGATCAGATTAATTTAACTTTACTTTTGCTATTCTTTTACAAATAATTTTGCACGATTTTTAAAACCGAAAATTAACTTTTTATTTACAAACGTGTCAAGATGACAGTTTTTATCAACTTCACTGAAAAAAAAATCGTTCCAATCAATATAATTTCTATTTCAAATACACCAAAGAGTATTTTTGCTTACTGGAAATATTAAATTTGAAATCATTTAGATTTCAATGAAAGCTTCAAGAAAACATTTTTTCATTTTTAAACTTTACGTATACCGAATTGGTGGAGTTACCTATCTAAGTATGTCGGTCAGATAAAGTTTTCATATTTTACATGGATAATCTCGAAATATATTGTTCCTATATCCGAATAAAATGGTACAAATATATATATATATATATATATATATATATATATATATATATATATATGTATGTATGTATGTATGTATGTGTGTGTGTGTGTAGACTTATAAAGAAGGTTCTAGAATATTATTTCTACGGGTCTTCATGAAGTGGAACAGTGGTTCCAAAACGGTGCAGCGCACCTCATAGATGCAACAGAAGAGGAATGGAGTGAGGCGGAATGATTGAAAGACAATCAAAGATTTAGAAACAGTTTATAAAAATCCATATGCCAAAAACAAATATGATTCCAAAATTTAAAATATTATTATGGCTTACTTGTAATTGCAGGCATAAGTCCCAGTATAAATAGTTATAAATAATTATTGACCGACTTTATCATTGTGATATTTTTGCATAATATCAAGTATTAAGAATATAGAAACTAGGGTCTGCTAATTGGAAGAGAGAGTTATCAATGATAATGTTCTGACTATGAATCAGCGGTTGTCTCCCTTTAACCATCTATCTTTTTTTTATTTTTAAATACACTTTCTATCACATAAAATTTGGTGAGGTTCGAGCAAATTTTCATTCCGAAAATGCGGCCAAGAGAAAAAAAAGTTTGAGAATCAATGGAGTGTAGGGGTGGTTTTGTACGGTTATTGAAGGAAAAAAATGATCACTGAATTTTTTTAATTAAAATTATAATTAACCGTAATAATTTAAATATATTTATAGTTTTAATTTGCAAAAAATTAAATAAAAATTAGCACAAATTTAGCTGTAAAAAAATATAAAATTACATTTTTCTTAAACTCTTTCAAGATCAAAATTGACTGGAAATCAAGAAACCGGAAGATATATGTGAGTATAACAAGTCCAGAAGTCAGTATACTAGTCAGAATATATATATATATATATATATATAAAAAGCGTATGATTTTAAAAAAAAGCTTTTCATAATATTTGAATTGGTTAAACCATTAACTATCACTTCACGTTATTTTATCGGCTTAAATCGTGAATGGTTAACGAGTAAATATAAAAGACACAAAATGAGTTACAAAATTATTATTTTTGACTTTGGTAAAATAATAATAATAATAATGAAAGCTTACCACTCTGCCTTGAACAACTTCTTTAAGAGAACAGTGAAGGGCCTCACGTGTGGTACAGAGGTGTTCCTTAATACACCAGTTGCAGGGAAATAAGCTCTCTGTACAGTGTGTGCACCTGTCAAAAAAATTAAAAAAAAAAGAGATAAAAAATGCGTGTTAAATATTACTTGTATTATTTACATTATTCGGACTGGTATCCTCATCTTCATTGCAATATTCACAACGTTTCGGCTGTTGTACGCTCCGGCTTTCTTCAGGTGATTAGAATTTCATCCACCATCTCAACTTTCCAAGTTTTGGTTTACCATTGTGGCCTGGTATTGAACTCACAACTATTTGGGTCTAGTCACTGGATCTAACCAACGTCTTTATCCACTGGACCATATCTCCTTGACGGCATATGTGTATGAATATTTGGGACTTATAAGCCTAATATCTCAGCAATCAATTTTTACACATTCCAATATTTCTGTTATTATTATTATTATTGCATTTTTTACCTGAGCTTGTATTGAAATTTTTGTGTTATTATTTCTATGTTTGATCGGCTTAGGAGATTTTTGTGGCTTAGCATATGTGCCGATTCCTTAAATTTTCGTATTTTCCAATGATGTTCTCTATTTCAGCTTCATCCCACAGGAAGCGGTGATCACACTTTTCCCTTCATATGTGGTCAGTTACACCTGATTCTTCTATTTCTCCTAGTGTTACCTCTTTACGGCACGTGGGACTAGAACAATCTACCCCGGTGGGCGAAATAAAGGGTTTGATTCGAAATTCCAATCACCTGAAGAAGGCCGGAGCGTACAGCGGCCGAAACGTTGTGAACATGGCAAGGAAGATTGTTGATGAAACAACGTAGGTCTAATGATAGAGACCTGAGAGACACCTGCATTATTGCAAAAAGGTCTAGAAGAGTTGGCGTTCAAAACAACTTTCATTTTGCTATTTGATAAGGGAGCTTGTATCAGCTTAAAGATTTGTCCAAAAACACCGTAAACTTTCAACTTGTGAAGAAGGCGAGTATGCAAAACCCTGTCAAATGCCTTCGAGATAAAAGCAACAGCCCGAGCTTGCCATTCTTATCTAAAGCCTAGAGTAGCAATAAACGTTAATATAAGAGTTGACCTATATATATATATATATATATATATATATATATATATATATATATATATATATATATATAGCGAAAGAAGACCGCGCTTGTAGATGAGATGCTTAACATATTCCTAGTACTTTGCAAAACATACTACTATATGAAACATATCGGTTTAACTACGTCATTGATAACGGTCGCTAAGGTTGCGTTGTGTATTGGTTAACGATCAAAAGCATACGCTTTTAACACAACGTTGAAAATCTGACTTGTAGTTGTAAAAAAAAAATAATCGCAAGAGACTGACACGTCTACACTCACACAAACATACAAAAAAAAAAAAAACAATTTTGTGTACTGTATCAAAAACTGCCTTAGCCACCGAAACTGTGTTACCTCCTTTGTTTTCAGACGTTGTATGTAGAAAATTGAAGTGTTAAAATTAGCAAGCAATTTTTTACTTAATAGTTGTCTCAAACTGCCTCGCGCATGCGCGCATAAAAAGAAATTGTGTTGAAAGATTTTCAGCTCGACCCACTTCCCTAAACCTGATCAAAAGACCAAACATTGAAATTTTCTTTTCTCTTGGTTGGACTGAGAAATATTCAGCATTCTCTTGCACAGATACACGCCTTAATGAAACAAGTATAAAAGGGAAGATTAAACTGGGAACCTAAAAGATAATAAATAAATGAATAAATATATAAACGAGAGCCCGGATTAGCAATACGCGAAAATAAAAGAAAAATGGCGACCCTGAAAGAGAATTCAAGAGAGAGATATGCATATGTGAAGGAGACAAAGACATGTCCCGGTGGATGCACGAAAGCAAGACAAAGAACCAACACGAGACAGAAAGAAATTATGGCGATTGTTTCGCGAAGAAATTTCGAGGAATGTGCATGATTTTCATTAATTTTTCTGTAATACGAGATTATTTTTTTTAAGGGTTTGTAGAAAGGCCATTATTCTTTGCCTGCTTTGAAAGCAGGTTAGAATTACGTTTGTTTTAATCGGTCCAGGATGCAGGGAAAGAAGGAAAGCATTTTGCAGGCGACCGACTGACGAAAAGGAGGAGACACCAAATAACTGAAAAGGAAAAGGGAGAATAAAACGAACTCAGGGTGAGATAAAAATGTCTGAGAGAAAGATGAGATGTGATTTAATTTTAAATTTGCTTCTTTATTTTTTTTTTTTTAAATATATTTCTTTATTTCTCCGTTACAAGATAGCAATTAATTGTGTCTTGCATTGTTTCAATATTTTGCCTTCGCAAGCACAGAATCTACAGAACAAAGAAACCAAGAAACAAAGATGGATTCCATGTTTATTCTAATGTTTTTTCACTTCATTGCAATATTGTTTTTATTATCAATTTTTTTCCTATTCATTTTAGCCTTCAACTTGAAATGTCTTGTCAGGCCAATGAATAAATATCAAGACGATTGGGTCAATAAAAAATAAATAAATAATAATGCAATGGTAGAAAATAGCAGGCACAAGATATTATGGGATGTTTCAGTCCAGACACATCATGTCACTGAAGACCCGACCGTATTATTATAGATAAGGAAATTAGCAATTGTCAAATTATTGACAATGCTTTTTCCATACGATACGAGAGTGGGTTCCATAGAAACTAAAAAAAAAAAAAAAAAAAAGATCTTGCTCGGGAGTTGAAAAAGCTATGAAACACAAAGTAATTTCTCTAGTAATAGGTGTATTTGGAACATCACATAGATAATTGAAAGAGCTCTTACAGAAAAATGAAATTAAGATCAAGATTGTATAGCTCCAGAAAACTATAATTATTTACTCTACAAGAAGTTCTTCAGCTGTGAGGAGTCTTGTTGATACCATGCCTCAAGAATAGAATTACCGCTAAATACGTCAATGTACATAAGAAAAGATTGATCCGTTTTTACGGCTTATCAACCCTTTACAGGTTATTTAAAGCCAGAATATATTTTTAAATTGTAAGATTTTTTTTGGGATATCTTTTAGTGAAACACATCTTACCATAGCTGGGGAAGAAAAATGTGGATTCATAACTAATCCGAATCTGATAAACAAATAATAAGGTGGATATAAACAGGGGGTCAATTTTATATTACAATCAGTATGTAAATAGATCCCTCATTTTACGACCACGATACTTTCTATACATTTATAGTCCAGAGAATATATAAAACAAAGGACATGCCATTATTTAATTGTTTTGTTTTTTTACGGCTTATCAACCCTTTGTAGGTTATTTAAAGCCAGGAAATATTTTTAGATTGTAAGAATTTGGTGGGTGGTAATAATGGTTTTTAGTGAAACAAATTTTACTAATTAACCCATAGCTGGAGGAGGAGAGGTTGATTCATACCGCATCAGAATCTGATAAACTAAAATCATAATGCGGGTATATATATATATATATATATATATATATATATATATATATATATATATATATATTTGTTTTCGTTCCCTAGTATTGTTTGTTTTCTAATTCTTCCGCAGCAAGTAACCTTTTGTGTCTTAGTGGCTTTACTACCTAGCGTGGGGTGAACTCGATAAAAAAAGAGCCCAAAGTGTGAACTGCATTACGGAGATACCAGAATCAAAAAATTACAAAAATGCAAATAACTATTTAATATCCTACAATTTCTTAAAGAAATCAAACTGTATCCCAAAATATAACTGCAACAAGCAGCAACCTAAAGCACAGATATCCCGGCCTCTAGTAATTATATCCACACAAACATCTATATGCACAAAAGCTGAGTATCATCTACCATGTATTCAATTGTGAAAGCAGAATAACATATATTACTTCAAAGCTCCCATCTCATCAAAAGAATCGTTGGCGAATAGTGTAAGATAAAAATAATCGTGAGAAATTGATAAACAATGAGGAAACGAGGGACTGCAATTAAAATACAATTTAATATGTAAAAAGGGAAGGAGAAAAAAAAAGCGGGAACGACAAAAACCAGAACAAACAGTGCCAGTGAATTTCAAAAAGGAAAATATAAACTCACAAACCACACAGGAGAGAAAGAGAACAAACAATCTCTACTGTCGGCATAAAGACAGTCAATATATATATATATATATATATATATATATATATATATATATATATATATATATATATATATATATATAAAGAAAAAACAATCTAGATGACAGGCTTTAACGGAAGTTAGATTTCATTGAAAAATACATCCCTTCCCACGACCCAAACGTAGCAATAACTGATACATTAAATTATAGACATATTGAAAACCCAGCCACCTGTCTATAAAAATAGATTTATCTGTAACCTTGGAAACATGAATTTTGTTTTTAGCTGTGTATTTAAAACCCAGTAATTTTAAAAGTTACTCCAAAATTTCGCTTGAGGATGAAATGGAACTAATGTCTTAATTTAATCACAAAATTAAATTCGTGGCTTTCAGCTTCCATTTTTGAAACATGGTTAGAACTGTATATTTTAAATCAATTATATATATATATATATATATATATATATATATATATATATATATATATATATATATAGGTAGCTATACTCGTCTCGAAGAACCTTTGAATTTTTGATTTGTCAGTAATCCAGCTTTCACTGACGATCCGCTTAGGTGAAACCTGGGTAGGTTTGTCTGGCTCATTAGGTTTGACTATATATTATGAAATGGACACAGTCCGACAAATATTTTTAAAGACATTTTTTTTTTTTATCTTTATACGTTCTTTTTATAGATACAAATATTTAAGTAAATGCTCTGTTTATAATAAACAGTATTAAACAACATTTACCGGCCTAAATGTCCGAGAAATTTTCATAGAAGATATGCGTCCTCCGACAGGAATCGAACCTGTATCCTACACGGAACCGTCATACAGCCTGACGTGCCTTAACGGATTGGGCAACAGATATGAATTTATGAGAGAAAATCATAGAGAATTGTGTTTAAAAACAGTAAAATCGACCGTGCTAACCGAACGTTGCTCTGTGGCCCAATCGGTTATGATGTTTATCTATCTCGACACCATTTGTCGTAGGAATCACTGAAAAACCCTTTGAGTTATTCAGCTAGAAAAAGAACAGGTTAAAATAGTTGTGTCGGTCCCACTATGTCATTCCAACTGAGCAATGGTGAGAGGAAAATATCATTCAGGCTTTCACTAATGGTACCAACATTCATACACTGGCTTCCATGTTCAATGCCCATTCAAGAAACTTCAAGAGAACGGTGAATAAGTTTTAAAAACAAGGAACAGTATAGAGCAAAACTGGATCAGGAAGTCACAACAGAAAGATTAGATTAGAGCTAAATAATTTCAAGATTTTTCTGTTAAGGGCAATTACACATTCTTATTGCACAAAGTAGAGTTCAATAGTGTTATAAAGACATTGGAGAATTCCAGTAAGATATCTTTAATCATTTCTATGATACAACGGTTCCATACTTAATCGAACAATTTAACATTTTGCTGTTACATAATTTGGACAATTGTACTGTTGGATCTGGATATATATATATATATATATATATATATATATATATATATGTGTGTGTGTGTGTGTGTGTGTACGTGTGTATGTATGACTGGCGTTTGTTTGCATTCGTAAAAACAATACGCTAGAATTAGGAGTTTCTCTCTGCTGAATGCCGATGGCTTGTGAGTAGAAATTCCGACTGATACCAAAACGGTTTGGTTTTCTTGGCTTGAGGCTTTCGACCTCTAGTTGCACTGAGAAGCTGTGGTACAAAGAAACAGTACTGTTTACGAATGACAGTATGTATATATATATATATATTCTTACTGTCATTCGTGTATATATATATATATATATACACTGTCATTCGTGTGTGTGTATATATATATATATATATATATATATATATATATATATATACACACACACATTGTCATTCGTGTATATATATATATATATATATACACACACACACTGTCATTCGTGTATATATATATATATATATATATATATATATATATATATATAT